GTCTTTTAATCTTTGCCCTATCCCCGTTACACGACTATGGGCAAAGAGGGGCAGCTGTCAACACACCTTTTCGTCCTACTAGAATTCAAACTCCTAAAGATAGGATAGAATTTTGCTAGGATTCAAAAAATAGGATAGAGTTCTACTATGATTTAAATTCCTAAAGATAGGATCCATAAGCACTATAAATAGCCATTGTAACTCACCATTGTAACACACGATTTACACAAAAAACACAGAGGAAAGCACGGAAAATACAAAGGCAAAGTTGTTGTAAACGATTCGAAAAGGAAATAAAAGGTAGCATCTTTTTTTTACATTGGTTCGTTCATTTCTCGCATGTGCACGTTATTTTTCTTGAGATTTGGTTCGAATAACCCAAAACGTGGGTTGCGCCGATGACTAAAAATGGGTGGGATTTCGAAGTTTCGAACCTAGATCCACCCCCGAGGCGTGTTCATTTTTTAAAATATTTAATTCTCCCCCCTAAATCATTTTTTTCCTACTTTATTATTCTTGTTATATATGCATATTACTTTCTATTAATTTTATTATATGTATATATGTTTTTTTATTAGTGTTATTATATATATATATATTTATATATTTCCTATTTTGCATGTATATATATGTATATTACTTTTGATTTTCTTTTTTTTATTATTATTATTTTACTTATATATTTATATGCTTTTACTTTTTTATATATTTTACTCATTTATTTATCTATTTTTATATTGATCCTATATTTTATGTTTTTATATTCTTTTACTTGTTTTATTTATTTATTTGCATTATCATTTTATTTTTATTTAGTTGTTTGCTATGCATATATTAGTGTTATTGTTTTTTTTATTTTATATATTCTATTCATTTTATATTTACTTTATTTCTTTCTTAATCTCCTTATTTTATTTGTTTTACTTTATTTATCATTTATTCATCTCTTCTAACCCATATTTTGACTTTTAAAGGGTATATTTGTAAATCGTCAAAGGTAAGTAATTTTGGATCATTATTTTATCTTTTAATTTAACTTGTTATTTTTCTTAATTAAGACAACTGGAAATTACGTAGTACCGAAAGGGCGGTTCAAGGGTGCTAATCCTTCCTTGACCGTAACCGACTCCCGAGCCCGACATATTTATGGTAAGACGCAGATCAGGTAAGAAATAGGGTATCCGATCAACCCATTTATATTTAAATAAATGATCGGTGGTGACTCCAATCCATTTTCCTAAGTCGAAGCCCAATTCCGGGGCCCAACCGAAAGACGGTTACGACAGAGAGGTAAAATAGTCAGAGTTGACCCTGAAGGAGAAAGTACTTTGAGAATTTGTACTTAACTCGATTAAGTACAAATTTAATCATTAATATTCTGTCTTTGTAAAGAAAAATTCATAATATTGCGTTTGTAAAATCCGAGAAGGCACTTGACCCGAAAATATCTGAGTTATGAGTAAATACCTGAAGAACAATTTATCGGAGGGTGCTCTTTTATCAGAATTGTTCGAACGGACTGGAATAGATGATAAATTGGAATTAAATAATAAGACCATATGAAGGAAAAAGATTGAAATACCGTGGATCTGTAAAATGACCAAAATACCCCTGTAATGGAAATGACCCAAGAATATCACCAAGCTCAGAAATGATTGGATATCCTCAAGCTTTGAAATGAATGGAATAAAACTGAATACCAAAATTTACAAAATAACCTTATGGTCTAAACTAAGTAAATGTCTTGGATTAATTAAGGAATCCAAGTAAGCATAGGTATTGGACTACCTTTAAAGATAATGGAAAACAATTTAAGTGAGTATATCAACCCTAAAACTATATCAATACCTAAATGGCATAGATATTACTAGAACATGTGTTTGTCTTCTCAAGTTTGACTCGATGATAAATTTTGGAAGTATTCAGCTCAGCTCAGCTCTAGATTGTATTCAGTACTAAGAATTGGACGTTTGTTCGACAATCAACCACGAAGACCAAATGGAATGGAATGAAAGTACAACATGTATCTGAAATTCAGGAACGTTTGAATTACTCTGGAAAATCCTGAAGTAATTGGAATGGAGATGACTGCTAAATGAAATAGGTAACCTCAATGACTGAGGATTTAATAAGTGATTTGGATAAGTCTGGAAACTCTGATGAGTTTACGTAGTGTACAATTACAATGGGTTATGAACAAATTAATCAAGTACGTCAGCATTTCATGATATTGTGGAAGCGTGGAAATGAAATAAAGACATTGGAAGATTTATTCAGCGATGATTCCGAAAATGGTCTACGGACAAGAATTTGTGGTATTAAAGAGTAAATACCCTGGAAGAACAATGAATTGACCAATCGACAAGCATTAGTTTTGGAAACTATTCATCTAAGAGTTGTCCGATAATTCGATCAATCGACATATAATATAAATGTCCTGAACCTTCATTTCTTCCTTATCAGCTCAAGTCACATTCTGAATAACTGATGATTTGTCAGTTATTGAACTCTTTCAATAGTGATTCTGAATTCTGATATTCTATCGGTATACTAAAGATCCGTGTTCCCCTACTTGTTAAGATTATCCAATATCTTTGAATACTATCTGTAAATTCTGGTGTGTTCCCTACCCACATGAATATTTTACCTGATTTTCGATTTGATTTCTGATCTGATACTTGACATGGATTCTGATATGATATATGACATGGATTCTGATCTGATACTTGACTTGGATTCTGATATGATACTTGACCTGGATTTTGATATGATACTTGACGTGAATTATGATTTGATTTTTGATATATCCGTTTACGGACGGAACATGTTTTATTTGGGGGGTTAATGTTGGAGGAAGAATACCTAGAGGTTCCTCGGCTGTGTGCTCAGGGCCTTACTTACCGGTTCCTCGGCTGTGTGCTCAGGACCTTACTGGACGTGACGGGGTTGTATGGTTCTGGGGAACCTACACATTTTGTTCGTGGCGGATGGGGGTATATATATATATATATATTAAAAAGATCTAAAAAGTTACGTGATTTTTTGGAACACACTAGAAAACCTATTCTGATCTCCCGAACTCAATCATCCGAAATATTTATCTGAACTGAAAGCTCATGGTCCGTTAGTACCTGAAATATCCGTAGAATCTCTGCTCAGTATAAAGATCTGTAAATGTCTGAAACAATAAGGAAATAAATATTTATCTGTATCTGCACGTTCATCAGCATCATCTGGTAGTTCTGTATTACTGAGCTTTCTAAAGCTCACTATATTACTCACCTTTTCAGGTTAAAAGAATTGTACCAGTGCATCTATCGACTTCAGTAAGGGAGTTCGTCCGGCGTTGTTGCAGAGTATGGTACATGTGATTAGGGGGCATGTAATTGTATTTTGATTTATATACGAGTTTGGAAATCTGTTTTATTTTTAAATATTGACAACTGATTTTATAAGTTTACATGTTCTGATAAAAAGTTTTAAATTTTCCGCTATTTTTACAATGAGTCACTCCGGTGGCCCTAATGTGACTTCCCGGATCGAATCGGGTTACCCGCATCGGTCTGGGGGTTACATTTACATTAAATAATTATTAAAAAAGTAAAAAGGTCAAGACATTTTATTGTATCTTTCTACTTTTGAGCATGCAATCTCCACCAAGTCCATGGGTTTTTTAAGGTTATTGACGACCATTTTATATACAAAAACAAAAATCACTTTGATCCACTCACCAAATAAAGTCACCCAATCAAAGAGTTAAAATAGAAAAAGTCACAGCTTGTGACTTGATCATATATACACTAAAAGCTCACACTATTGAGAGATTAATATAATATTTTTTGGGATAAATTAAATCTTATTATCCAAAGGAGCAAAGTATGCTACAACAAACGTCCCAAAAGGGAGTATAAACAGTTATATACAACAACAAAAATGTTTAGTCTATACCCCAATAGCTATATAGATTAGAATTAATATTATTGAGTCTATTAATGTTTCTACCAATTAGCTGAATTCGGACAAGTTCCTTGATGTTTTTCAATAGTTGTTTCACGTCTCTGCTTCTATCTTGAAAGATTCTCCTATTTCTTTCTTCCCAAATCAAATAGATGTATGCAGTCCAAGCTATCTTCAAAATGGTGGAGATGAGAGATTAATATAATATCTTTTTGGATAAGTATGTTAGAGGTTTTTAAATTATGTTAAAATATTTTTTAATTGTAATGGTTATAATATTTTGTAAATTTAATAATTATTTATAATATACAAATCAATGATTATTTTATAATAATTTAATAATTATTTTAAAATTTTTAAAAATTCGACTATGAAAATTATTTGAACATATGTTTAGAATATCTGATGTACTTTGCAAAAGTTTGAGTCATCGTTTAAGTTGTACTTTGATTTAAAAATAGGCTCAAAGTAGAAATAAATATTTAAATTATGTTTTTTTATTTTAGGTACCTAATTTTTTTGTCAAATTATTAGTTAAATTATTATATCTAATTATTTTAAGTCATAATATTTTTCAGTTAGAAAATTATTTTTCGACTAATAAGATATTGACACATCACATAAAGTTAGATACTTGTTTTAATAAAAAATAGTTTAGGGGTTTGAAGTAAAAATATATATAGTATAAGATTTTATTTTAATAGAAAGATAGTTAAGGTACTTAAAATGTTTACATATAATAGTTTAAGGAATTATTTTGATAAAAATTTAGTTACTTAAAAAAATAGTTTAATTAATTTTTTTAGTTGAAGCCTTTAAAATATTCTCCGAAGATAATTAGATTATTAATCTGTACTTGAAATTTACATCATAGTTATAACTTCAAAGAAATCATTTTTCTACTGAGTCAGTAATCCTTAAGAAATCTGAAAATCCCAAAATTCTCCAAGAGAGAGAGAGATTATTTATTTATTTATTTTACTTTATATAAATATATTTTTTAAGGAGGAGGAGAATATTTGGGTGCCTGTTTGTTTTTCTTCGGGATATTCTATCAATGGTTGAAACTTGAAATATTGAAATCGAAAGCAAATTTGTATTTTTTTTCCCTTTCGAATTTAAGAAGGTAAAAAGAGAAGAGGGGGGAAGGCTAACTCAAGATGCGATCTTTTATTTGATCCTGGGAGTGTGGTAAAATCTAGGTCGTTATTGATTATCTGACACTGAAAAACTCAAAAAAGAAGGAAATGGACGGAGGCGATGAGGTGCTGACAGCTCCGGCGGGGCCGCCACAACCTTTGGAGTGGAAATTCTCCCAGGTATTTGGTGAACGAACGGCTGGAGAAGAAGTTCAAGAAGGTAATTTTCTTATCGTCTTTGGATCTAATTTGAAATTTGTTGATTCTATTGGAATTAGGTTCTATTATAGTGATTTGGACATGTCTCGGATCACGGCTATTGAAAAATTGTTGTTTAGGTAGTGGGTGAGGAAAATTTTGCGACCTTTCCTTCTGGGAGGCGTCGTCGTCGTCTTAGATTTGGGGAATATAGTGGGTTACAGACTAAACAATGCTTTGAATCATTACTGAGTAGTAGTTTCTTGCGAGGAAAGAAAAAAAAAGTAGTGTGGAAGTTAAGTTGATGAAGTTAGTGATGTTGCATGCGATGACAAGTTGTGTCCCTTTTACTTTTTGTAGTATTAGTGATTGGAAGCTTAAGAATTTTTCGTAGTAATTTGTGGTCATGAGGTTTCAGGGTTCGAACTGATTAATAATATTGATAATTGAATTGAAACTGGAACATGGGCATCATCACTCTATTGGGACTGAGATAGATTATGTTTTAGGTGTTTAGATATGTCACTTTAAGTCTTAACCCATTTTTGGATGACTACATTGATTTGGATGGGTTTAATGTTTGTATGTTGGGCATGAAGGCAGTTACATGTTACAGATTCCTGGATTCACGTGGTGTGTTTTGTTTATGTTACGAAAGGTTTATATTATGGTAAACTTCCTTGTCAATGGACAGATAGAAAGCACATTATACTATCAGTCAGTTGAATGATCTAAGAGTGTTGGTAGATATTGACCTTTTTGTTCGGTTCAGTAAGTCAGTAGTGAAACTTGGATTAACAAGTTGAATTCAATCATGTGTAAGTACTAGCTTGATGATTTTCAGTTTAACGACACCACAAGAACTAGGTAGTAGACAAGAATGCAAACTTTGATGTAGAAACTGCTGAGGTAGATGTTTTATCCTTTTGATGGTAACTCATAGTCTTAGCTAAAATTTCAATAATCTATTTTGAGTTACGGAAAAGCAATGAATGATAGACTCTTTAACAAGAATCCTTTCTTGGGATTCAATATTCTAAACATTTCTTGGAATTGGTTAATCCTGGGTTATTTATTGTTAGGATGGGGGATAGCTGGGGTCTTTTCTTTTTCTGCATAAGGATGGCTCTTTGTAACCTAAAACTTTGTTTTACCATATTCTAATAAAACTTGAGGTACTCTTTTCCTCCTCCCGCTGTTTGCTGCTATACCCTAGGTATGTCGGAAATTATGAAGGGGGTTTTTAGCGAGACCTCCAATTCTTATGAAAAAAAAGGAAGTATCTTGGACAATGTGACCCTTAAGAGCTTGTGACTTGCTAGCAGGTTCTTTTTCCCCCTCATCTCTCAAATTTAAGCTTGTCATTGCCACATTTGACATTATTTTCCTAAGCTTTCCGGAGTAGTTTGGTGAAAGGGCTATGAGAATATATATTACGGTAGCTGTGAATTATCTAGGTAGGGCATAGCAGAAATAGTTTATAATCAATCAAATTGTAACTTTCTTTGTGTTCTCAAAGAGAAGGAAAGATATAGTATAGGAAAAAAAGTATCAAGACTAAGATTTGTAATTTATCAATAGAAAGGAAAAAGATTTGGCCTTCTTCCCTAGCAGAACAATACAGTTTCTTTATAGAAAGATAGTCTTGACAAAATTTTACCATTACTCACTGCATTGTCTGCAGAATTGTATTTTCTTAAGAATTTTGTTTCCTGCTGCAGTTGATATTATCTCAGCAATTGAATTTGATAAAACTGGGGATCACCTTGCCACTGGTGACCGTGGGGGCCGGGTTGTTCTCTTTGAGAGGACGGATACAAAGGATGTGGGTTCTGCTACCTCTCCTGATGCTAATATTTTTACATAAGAGTTTTCCTTCCATTGCAACTTTATAATAACTTATTTTATTGCAATTTATAGCATGCGCCAAGAAGGTATTTGGAGAGAATGGACTATCCAATTAATCGGCACCCTGAGTTTCGTTACAAGACGGAGTTCCAAAGCCATGAGCCTGAGGTGGGCTCTCATCACTTTTTGATTCAATGATACATGCACAGTATCATATGTTTCCCTCTGTGCTCTATTATGCATTGATTATTGTGATTATTTTCTAGTTTGACTATCTCAAGAGCTTGGAAATAGAGGAAAAAATTAACAAAATCAGATGGTGCCAAACAGCCAATGGTGCGCTATTTCTGCTTTCTACCAATGATAAAGCAATCAAATTTTGGAAGGTAGGGAGGAATTCTTTTGCCGAAACTGTTCTTAACTATATGGCTTTCATTTTTATCGTAGATTGTCTATGTGACCACTTTGTAATAAGTACTGCTTGGTAATTTAGTATGTTCATTCATCTGAATGAAATATGTTACTGAAACCACTGCAATGGTAGTGGTGCATGGATAGAACAGTCTATAGAATGCTCTTATGAAATGGTTATTTAGGAAAGAGAAACTTGTTAGGTAATCTGTCTCATTTTTGTCAATCATTAAACAAATTTAATGATTTATATTATAATTTATTGCTCTCCCCTTGCCATTATAGCCACTTATTTGTCTGTTATCTGTCTGTGGGTGTGACAGGTCCAAGAAAAGAAGCTCAAGAAGGTTTCTGAAATGAATTTGGACCCCCAAAAAACTGTAGGAAATGGAAACATGGCTTGTTCAAGTAATTCAAATAGCCCCATCCCTTTTCTTGCAAATGGAGGCTCCCCTGACAAATCCTACAACTATTTGGAAAATGATTTTTCTTTCCCACCCGGAGGCCTGCCATCATTGCGTTTACCTGTGGTAGTTGTACTCTATGCAATCATTTTATTTATTCTGTGGTTTAAGTTATAGTATAAACTTAGAATACTGTTTGAGCTATATGAGTTTTACTATGCTCAAGGCTAGGGGAAAGGTGAAAAACTTTTAAGAGTTTAGTAAAAGTGCCAGTGAGGCGATGAACACTTTTACCACCAGATGTTTCCAAGAAGCAGTACTTTAACTATGTGTAGGGCTTTTTGGTGTTGAAGGCCTGTGAGACTGAGTATTCAGCCTTTTACACGCACACACATACATATATGTGTGTGTAATTTCTTATACAAAAACCCTTCTAGTTATTTCTGTAAAATATACCGTTAGAATTTAGATTCTATCCTGTTATACATTATCATCTGGAATCTGCAACTTTCTCCTGTGCTTCTTTTTGGATGACTGATCCTCGGGCAACCATTTATGGCACAAGTGCTTTTAAGACCACTTGGTTGTTCAGTCTCTTTTCCTTTTTTCAGCCAGAGAGGATGTTATGATTTGTGATTGAATAATCATGAACCATTTTTATTGTCTTAATGTGTCTTGGCCTTTTTCTGCACTCTAACCTCTAACCTTTAATCTTTACTATTTCAAGGTAACAAGTCAGGAGACCAACCTAGTAGCTAGATGTCGAAAAGTATATGCCCATGCTCATGATTATCACATCAATTCTATTTCAAATAACAGGTAGTTATTCTTTTTTAGTGTTGTTGAAAATTTATTTCACTTTTTTTTTTCTTTTTTGAATCTATTTGACAACTAGTAGAAGAGGAAGTAAGGAAGTATGGTTTTTTCCACTTTATGGTATATATATTATAAACCAAGAGCACTACCTTTTTATTCTCTGATGGAATGAAACCCATTGTCACCTGGGAAACTTGAAGAGTGTCGATTTGATATATGTTTTTCCTCTGAGTTTGTCTTTTTGTTGATTATTTTTTTGTTCTTTGCAGTGTCATTTTTAGGGGTCTCCTAAGAGAGTGGCGGTGACTAGTTTTAGTTTCTAGATTCGAGTATAAAGTTAAAACTGGTGTGAGTTGGGATTCTAGTTTTTTCCTTTTTTATTCAAACTTTGACATTCTTGTTTTGCGGAAGGCATAGGGTTTTCCAGCTATAATAATAAAGTATGATTGTTCTTAAATAATTATTATTTAATGAATCCTGATTCCTTAATAACATTATGTGCTGAACGTTTTTTGTTGTCATTCCAAGCAAGCAGCTATGATTGTGTAATGGTCTCTGATGACACCTTTCATGCTTTAGAAAGGAAAGGGTGGGTAATAATCTTGAGAAAACTGGAGAACTTCTAAACCATAGGATTGCATGCTAAGGATAGAGATTTTTTTCATGAATTGTTTGTTTCTTCAGGACGTTCTTATGTGCATGAAAAAAATGCTATGTTCGCTCTATCAACCATTCTTGGTTTACCCGAAGTTGTGTAATATTTTGAAATCCTTACAGCGATATTTAAGCTTCTTGACATTCAGGCTTGTCTGCAGTTTATATTTGAAAGATTATAACAGTTATGCGCATGTGCATGTTTGAAACCACATCCTGATTCTGTTTCTTGTTTTCCAATATTTGCTTCATTTTTGAAATTATATTGATGCACTCTTTATCGTTTCTAGTGATGGTGAAACCTTTATATCTGCTGATGATCTGCGTATAAATCTTTGGAACTTGGAAATCAGCGATCAAAGTTTCAATATTGTTGACGTAAAGCCTGCAAACATGGAGGATCTAACTGGTAAGCCTCTTAGCATGTTGGTATTTTTTTTTTCTCTGCTGCTTTCATTTCTTAATATATTTTCAGCTTCAATGCTATTTAGTAATTTCACAAAGGCTTTCCCATAGTAATCTGTTTTCAATGGTCCTTTGGGTTAATAGTTGGTTCAGAGTTTGTTTCAAGCTCCTAGGTTTGTTCAACCATAAGTTTTGTTGAGGTTTAAACTATTACTATTTCTGTCTTTGCAGAGGTTATAACATCGGCAGAGTTCCACCCTACCCATTGTAATATGTTAGCATATAGTAGTTCAAAAGGTTCAATTCGCCTCATTGATTTGCGTCAATCAGCTTTGTGTGATTCTCATGCCAAATTGTAAGTGTTCTACTTTTTTTTTCCTTTTGCTTAGTCTACTTAACATTTAGAGGTGGCAAACTGGGTAGTTTGGCAGTTTAATTTGGTCCATTTTGCACTCGAACCCTTTCAGGTTTCAGTTTTTTTGCAGATTTTTGTCCTTTTGGATACGGGCTGGGTTCTTTTTCATGCTAGTTAGGTCATTGTTAAGACTTTTATGAAAGATATAACCATTATAGCAAGCTTTTCATGTTTAGATTTATTTGGGTTCAATTCATCTTAGGTTCAGATTTTATCGGGCTTGGGTCTTTGACTTTTTTGGTCAAGTCAGGTTTGGGTGGGTTCAGATTCAGGTTTTTTCATGGGTTTTTTCGGTTTAATACCATGCTATGGATCCTGGTATGCAAGGGTCTATATGTTATTTTTTCAGTATCCTTTATTAATAATGAATACTTCTATATGGAAACAGACTTGAAGAACCAGAGTCACCTGGTTCTAGATCATTTTTTACAGAGATAATCGCCTCAATCTCAGATATTAAATTTGCAAAAGACGGAAGATATATACTTAGCCGTGATTACATGACTCTTAAGGTGTGAACTCAGTTCCTTTTCTTTATGTTTGCCTTCTTCTTCTTCTTCTCTCCTTGCATTTGCCTTTGATACATCTAAATATACTTTGCATTGCATAAACATCACATTATGCAAGCATTTTTTCCATAAGCATGCCACGATGGCTTTATCCCTGACGTAATTATCCATTGGCTTATCCTATAAGAAATTGATAGAATTCAATCACAATTAGTACCATAATGTGTAGAACACATGAAGCTCTAATTACATTTGGCTGCAATTGTACGTCTCTAAAGATTCTAGTTTGTAAACACTTAATGGCACTTGATTAAACTGGATACAACAATTTGTTTTGTTGGTATTTTGGCTTGGAATCAAATACTCAAAAAAATGTTTTTCTCATGGAGAACTTATCATAAAGTTGTGAAAAGGTGGGTTGAGGGTAAATGTTTTGGTAGTTTCTTCTACTCAGTATTTGAGCACGTATATGCAAGTTGAATGTTTTAAAACTAAACTGATGTTTCTGATTCTGTTCCCGTTCTATATTTGAATCAATCACATGTCATTTTTGTTTCATTGTTTTGATCTTTTACCGTATTGTATCGGAATCCTTAATATTATATACAAAACATTTACTTTTTAATGTTAAAATTTTCGTCATATTTCCTATTTCCTTTTGGCTGTAAGACTTTCTGATGGTGGTTTGGAACTTGATTATCATTTTGTTCGGTATAACATATATATTTGATGTTTCCTTTTTCAATGGGGGTCGTACGACTTGTCATATAACTTGATTACATATCACTTGGCTGTAGCTTTGGGACATCAATATGGATTCAGGTCCAATTGCAACGTTCCAGGTTCATGAATATTTGAGACCTAAGGTATTATTTCTATTTTCTTCAAGAGATGAAATTAATCATATATGGGATGTGCTGTGACATCTGGTTATGGCATTTTTAATTGTTTCAGCTGTGTGATTTGTATGAAAATGATTCAATCTTTGACAAATTTGAGTGTTGCCTAAGTGGAGATGGATTGCGAGTGGCAACAGGTTCTTACAGGTCTGTTCTGAGCAAAGCCATCATGTGTAGCCTTTTGTTGTTGACTTCTTCTTCTTCTTCTTCCATGAAACATAATATTTACAATTACTCTGTGATATCAGCAATCTATTCCGTGTGTTCGGTTGTGCCCCTGGAAGCACAGAGGCAACAACTTTGGAAGCCAGCAAAAATCCAATGAGGTAAGTTCACTCGAGCCGAGTAAAAGACAAGTTCTGTGCAATGTGAATTACGATCTTTCTATTGATGTTAGATAGTAGTCATAAACATCCATGTCTTTTCAGGAGACAGATTCAGACTCCCTCAAGGCCTTCCAGATCCCTAAGCAGTATAACACGAGTTGTCAGACGAGGTCATGATTTGTTGTTACATCATTTTTTTTCAACTTTCTAACATTTGAGTTGTTTCTTTGGGTACGAGGGGTTGATGATTCGTACTGAAGTGCTTTTTATTTGGGTGAATTTGTCATACCAGGAGCTGAAACCTCGGGAATTGATGCAAATGGAAATGCTTTCGATTTCACAACAAAGTTGTTGCACCTAAAGTGGCACCCGACCGAAAACTCAATTGCCTGTGCTGCTGCAAACAGCTTGTACATGTACTATGCATAACTATGGTATAAGAAACGTTTTTGCTTGGTTTAACTTTTTTTGGGTTGCTGATGGCAAAAGCTCCTTTTTCTTTCCCCCCAAACACCGGTAAGTTAAAGGTTACACGTCGATTCTCACACTCTGATGCCCCTAAAACCTGTAGCACATGCCATGGTATCAAGGTCAAGAAATGGCTCTTACAGATCCAAGAAGAAACAACCCGTCATTGTTCCCCAGTGGGCGACGGCTTGGTTCTTGTTTTCTCTCCTCCCGAACCCCGAAAGATCCCTTTTGAATCCCCTATCTTTAAAAAAAAGTAGAAGAGGGAGTAAGTTTCTAATTTGTGTTGGGTTGGAGTTGGCAGAAAATGTGATTGTAGCTCTCCTACAACAAAACTATATGTTCAGTAATTGCAACTAGGTTTCTAAGGTAAAATTTTCAGTTTTTTTTTCGTCCCTTTCTACTGAAATTTTTCTTGGTGGGATGGATCTGTCCAAACTAGGAGTCCAATTTATTATTATTATTATTTTCTGAATTGAATTTGGTGACTAGGTTTTGCCAAAGTGACCTTTGAGTTTTGACTCCAAATACTTGAAAGTGTATCAAGTTTTGTTAAATGGAAGGATTTAGTAAATGTTACATGCTTTAATAAAGAAATAACAAAGAATACGCAAGAGATTCATTTGAGTTGCAACTGTATCTCTCATTTTAGAAGTAGAATGATTATTTTAAACGAGATTCATTTTTAAAAGTATGATTAAAGAGTTTTTAATACTTTTAAATTGATTCTATTGATATTGCTGTTCGTTGTTGTTATAATATTCATAAGATTATGCCTCAATTTAAGGGTAATTTAGATATTATAAGTCTTCAAATACCGGGATTAGACTTAATAAATATCATGACTACTGTTTTGATTTGGAATTGGAACTTCAAAAATTTTAACAGTTCAGGACTTAAAATGAACAAATTAAAGAAACGAACTAAATTGAAATAATTTGAATAGTTTAGGGACTAATAGAAGAGTTTAGCCAAAACAATTCTTCTTGCATCCCGAGGAAAAAAAGGAAGGTTTATCCAATGTTTATGTTGGTGAAGGACACGTCGGCAACATAAACGACAGACCAGTAAATACGGAGTAAATGGGCCCACCTCATAACTTTTTATATTTTCCTCCCGATCGATTGTCGGATTCCGCCACGTGTTGATAATGACTTTATCATTTTCTATTGGGTTAAATTGTTGTTTGATTTAAAAATAAGGTAAAGAACACAAATGGTCCTCCAACTATAGGAGATTGTTTTATTGAGTTCTTTAATTTTTAAAAGTTACAAAATAATTCTTTAATTATAGAATATTATTTTGTTGAGTTATTCGACTTAAAAGTTACAAATTAGCCACTTGACTATTCATATATTCAAAACTCATCATTTTCTATTAAAAAATGATGAACACCTGTGCTATACGTTAATCTATTAATTGAGATATAATAAAATCATTTTTTAATTATGCTTATTGACACTGTTATTACTTTCAAGCACTGGCTTAATTGCATAATGCTTTAATCATTGTCTCAACGACATAATGTAAACATATAATTGATCTACAAAATATAATTTAAACGGTTATAGGATCAACTTTTACCATATCTCAGTTAATAGGTTAACGTTCAGCTTGGACGGTGTCAATTTTTTAATGAAAAAGGACGGGTTTGGAATATATGAATAGTCAAGTGATCAGTTTATAACTTTTAATAGGCGGGTAAACAATAAAACAATGTTTTATAGTTTATGGATCATTTTATAACTTTTAATAATCGAAGAACTCAACAAAATAATATCCTATAATCGTAGAACCATTTATGCAGTTTAACCTATAAATAAATAAATTTATATTCAAAATTGAGTTAAATTGTGGTTTGATATTATCCTTAGTGTTTAAATTATCTTTTCGATAAACTATACGAGAGAGCATTGAATTTTAGGCGGTATATTATTTATAATGTTTTATTTTTAAATATTCTAATCATATAATTGAATTTGAATTTTACTTTTAATTAGATATTTAACAATTAAATTTTAATATTTTGATGCAGTTATTGATGTTAACTTTAGGGATATTTTGATTTTATCTCTAAATTTTAGAAAGGTTTAAGTTTAGGTATTGAACTTTTATCGTCACTAGTAACTAACCATCGATCGTTATTTGCGACAACGTTGATATCAAAATATTCACATTCTACTCCTCTTTCTTTTCATTAGATTAGTAGTTCACGAAATCATTCAAAATCAATGAAAATCCATTTAGAGGTTCGACATAAGTAACTAACCATCGATTGTTATTGGCGACAACGTTGATATCAAAATATTCACATTTTACTCCTCTTTCTTTTCATTAGATTGGTAGTTCACGAAATCATTCAAAATTAATGAAAATTCATTTAGAGGTTCGACATACTAATACTCCAATCTCCTTCGATAATCTCTGATGAGGCTAACTTTGAAGTATATTATTTGTCTTCTCAAAACGATGCTTATCATCATTTAGATTTTCGAACAAATACCTCAAATATAAGAAAGTATCTAAACCCTTAAAATGGTTATAAACATCCAACTCCAGCGGATGGTCCACTTTCTGAACAAAAAGGAAACATACATCACAACATGAAGGGCACTTTAAATATTAATTCCAAAAAGGAATTATAAACTGCTTGAATTTTTTAAAATACACATCTGTTGGAACTTTACGGAAAATAAACAATATCATAACAACATGAAGAGTGATTGAATTGAATGTTCAATACACATATATATTAAGGTGGTGTTTGTTTTTGTTGAGGTAAAAGGTCCGTAGTCTGTGGACCATATCTGTAGGCATCTGCAGCAGAAGAGATAGACCAAAAGTCTGTAGTCTGCAAGAAGAAGACTGTTTGTTTTTTAACCTCTGCATACTATTTGTTTTTTAACATCTGCAGACTGCTAAAATAAATTGAAATAGAAATAAACTGATTTTTTAAACTTAAAAGAGTTTTTGCAATAATGAGATTTAAATAATTTTAGTTTTACTGAAATTTAAATAATTCATACAACTACAATAATAATTTTTTTAGAAAAACAAACACCACCTTATTAATTCTATTATAAGTCTCACATAATCACATGTATTATTAGTTTTATAAGTTTTATAGAATAAAATTTATAAATGATCATTAAATTATATGATTTTTTAAATATGCAATTATGTAATATTTTTATTTTTTTAAAATATATATTCATAATTTATTTTTATAATTATATGATATTTTTAGAAAATATTTTTTAATTTATCAAATTATTTTATGATTATTTTTTATTTAATTGTGATTATATTTTAAAATTTTAAAAATATAATTTATAATTTTTTATATTTTAAAATCTTAATTATCAAACAATGAAATTATTTTTTATTAAGCAATGTGGTTTAAATACTTACATTTTTTATAAAAAGTTTAAATATAATTTAAAAATAACAAATCCAAACAAAATATTATATTTAAACTTAAATCAAAATAATTAAAATAAATATAAAATTTTAATAATATATAAAATAATTTATATGATATAAAATTAAATATCTATAATATAATATTAAAAAATGAATATTTAATTTATTTAAAAATTAATATTAAAATTAATATATATAATAATATAATATTAAAAATTAATATTTAATTTATTTAAAAATTAATATTAAAATCAAATATAATATAAAATTAAATATAAAACCTCTTTGAAGAGGTTATAAGACGTCTGCAGACATAAGACTACGCTTGTGCCATGCAGACCACGCGCAGACGTTAGAAGAGCTTTTGTCTTCTAAAAAACAAACGGTCTGCGAAGCCCAATGTCTGCGTGTGGTCCGTGCGGCACAGACATAAGAACTTTGCAGACCTTATACAGTAAAAACAAACACAACCTAAGTCTGAATACCTTGGGCTTTTACATCATCTCGAACTGTTAACCAAACATAAATATTTGTTTACGAAAACATGCATGATGGGTTTGAGAATACAATTTGCTTACCCGCAATATCTTAGCCTTCTCATTTGACTCCCTCTTCCCAGAAAAAACGCACGAATTGATTAGTCAAGTATGTATCACCCTAGTTACACGAGATTATCGAAATAGTGACCAAAATTTTTTCTTTTAAAACTGTTTGTAAAGTAACTCAAGACGTACTCTGAAAGGTTTTTGAAAATATGAATTTGTTGAACTGGAATATCTGATGATGATAGCTCCTCACGACCTGCTCCCTAAGAGCCTGCGCATAGAAACACATTCCGAACGATGAGCTTACGAGCTTAATGCTTCACTAAAAATTGTATTATATTATATGCATTCACTACATGAAATGACAAATGGCACGGGTCTGAGTATACAACTACTGAACTACTAATTTGTAGCTGGCATCATGGTGCGGTTGAGGGATTCTGCATCTCAGAGCTCATGCACCCCTCTAGCACTATCAAAGCACCATCAGACACTCCTGAATGAGATCCCGAATTCTGCATCGGAATGTACACCCACCGACTTACTCCGTCGAGTTTTGGGGCATTTGCGCCCAGTCGACTGATATAGTGTCGTGGCACTTACTTTGATCCACTGACTATTGTATTTCTACTGAAAGGAACTCGAGTGTCCTGATTATTTCCCGAGCTCAACCAAGACTAATTTTATGTAAACCTAATTATTTTTGTTTGATATTAATTATTGTTATTGCTTGAAGTCTAATTTGAGAGAGTATAAGGGTGCGTTTGGTTCATGGAATATAAGATTACCTCCGAGAATAGGATTACCGGAATGTAACATTACCTAACACATTACTGAGAATGTTACATTACTGTGTTTGGTTTGTTTGACAGGAATGTAAGATTACAGTGTTTGGTTGAAGGAATAAAAGATTACTAGAATGTATATTTTACGAAATTGTCATTGTTCTATATTTTTTAACAAGTTGAATTCTAAATATTTAAATGAAAATATTTATATAAAAATTATTCGAGAATATATTACTTTATTATTTTTAATATATATATATACTTTTTAATAAAATTTATATATAATTTTTTTATAAAATTTAAAAGATA